GTCCAGAGGACCTATACAATTTTTTTTCCTTTGATTTTTACCTGGATTACTGAGATGCATCAGGACATCATATAGTTTTATTCAAATTTAATGATAATTTATTTAGTTTAAACCAAGTTTGTATTTTAACAAATTCTGTTTGCATCATCCTCATCATTCGTTCTATATTTTTTCCTAAACAGAAAAATGTAGCATCATCTGCAAATAATACACATTTAAGAAGCCCAGACACATTTACTAAATCCTTCAGATATAAAAGAAATAAATTTGGTCCAAGTACAGAACCCTGAGGAACCCCACATGTAATGTTGCAGAGTTCAGATCTTACATCATTTACCTGCACAAACTGTTTCCTGTTTTCCAGATAACTAGAAACCCACTGTAGTGCTGGACATCTTGCAGCTTAAAACTGCACCTTTTATATTGCACAGTTCAAATAAACTTAGCTGCAAAAATAGTCTTCCTTTAAACTATAGTTTAAAATAATCATAATGGTGTGGAGAGGATGGCTATAAGGGGAGAAGGGAGGCCATCCAAAAAAAAAAAATAAATAAAAACAATATTATGACTCGAGTCTGATTGAGTCCAAGTCATGTAACCGAGTCCCCACCTCTGATAAGGACTAAATGACCCATCACAACAGACCCTCAGTTCCATCGTCTTGGAGCACTCCACACAGTGTTTATTGAGGAACATGAACTCCTGTGCAAGTCCAAAACAGACTGGTTGGACAAACCTCCATGCCCCCTCGAGAATCCAGTAAAGAGCTGGTCCGGTGTTCCACAGGCAGAACAGAACTCATGTTGGTCCTCCTACATCTGAGGTTCGACCATCGATTGGACTCTGTCATAGTTTGGTATTTTTTTTATATTGGTTTCTGTTTTTGTATTATGGTTAAGTTTTTTAGGCCCTGTTTTGGGGTTTTGTTCATGTGGGGTTTCTGTTTAGCTCCTTTTTGTCTCAGGTGTGTTCAGTTCTGTGATTAGTGTTGCTTTCATGTCCTCAGGTGTTTTCTGTTAACTCATTAGTTGTCCTGTGTTGCTCTGTCTTGTCTCTGTGTCAGTGTCCGATCATTGTGCTGCAAAGCGTGTCTTGTTTTTCATGTTCCAAGAGTTTTTGCCACGTCACCTTAAGAGTTTTTCCCAGCTGCCTCGTCAGTTTTTTTCTTTGATTTAAGAAAGACCTCATTTTTGTTACACCGGAACTCTGCCTGTGCCCTGGGTCATTCTATGTCTAAACCTGACAGACTCACTTCCCCAGCATCTCTAATGAGGACTTACCTGGAGGACTAAAAAGAGTGACGCCCCTATAATCTGAACACAAAGAGGGGAGCCACAATCCCAGTGGCACTGCCCCTGATATCTACACGATAAGTCGAGTCAACATCCAGAGCCTTGAAATGCTCAGGGCGTAGTCTGAGCCCTACCCCTGTGAAGTTTTGTGTGACCAAACATAAAATGTGACCAAACATAAAAAATATGTGACCCATCACATCGAAACTAGGATTAAGTCCAAAAGTGGCACATGGAGAAATAGGCAGGTACAGGGTTTTGATTTAAATGTGTGCAAAAATTGCATTTTGTCAAAATATAATGAATTAATGCTTTATCAATGTTTCAATTGAATTAACTGTCTGAAATATAATAATAAAAAAACTTTATGAAGCCTTTTTTCGAGCAGTAGCAACAAAAAAACTGATTTTGAGGATAAACGTCTTAAAATTTTAAATTTTTCCCTGTGAGTTAGCAATGCTTTTTTCCCCACCTGGGAAATCTTAATATACAAATACTATTTGATGTTTGCTCTTTACTGACATCAAAAATTACTCAATGAATAAACATAAAATTAGGATTCACACCACACTGTAATGTATTATTGTAACCAACAAGACAAATTAAGTCATATCTCTGGATAAACTGTTATCAGGATGATCCAGGTATCAAAACGTAGCTTTAAAGCTAGAAATCTGAAAATGTAATTAGGTCATTTTGACCAAATTTGACTTAATCCTCATTTTGATATGATGGGTCACATATTTGTTTTTGTTTTGTTTTGTTTTCATACTCACAACAGAAATCAATTTGTATGCAAATATGTGATCAATACTACTAATAAAAAAGTAAAACATGTTAGCCTGTTGTTTATTTAAATATTACAATTTCTTTATATGATATTTCTCTTAAATCCATCAGAATTACCTTTAAAGAATTTGAAGACTACATAATTATAAGAATGCCTGAATAATTCAGTTGTGCTAGTTTTTATGAAATTTGGTATAAACTGTATTGTTTACATGAATATGGTCTTTTTATTTGTCCTGATGTGCATGATAATAAATATAATAATAATATTATTTAGTTTTAAAATGTCACCTCCACAGTTGTAGCCTGTTTCGCGGCTCCGAACCCATTTTATTAGTGAGACAAGGAGCATAAATGGCTCTTTTGATTGTAAAGGTCGCAGACCCCTGACCTAGACCTGTGAAATCCACTTCCACATGCCTTTGTTTACATTTTGTGTTTTTGTAAAGCGCTCCATAAATAAATGTTGATTGATTATTGATAAATACAAACTTGTGTGTGCGTGTGGTGGGTGGTGTGCTGGGTGTGTGACTGAGCTGTGAGCACAGATAACGTGAAAGAAAAAGATAAAGAAACTTAAAGCAAAAAAAAAATACACAAAAAAACCCAAATTAAAGAAGCTGTTGTGATAATAATTTAAAATATTTGTTTAAGTTTATTGCCAGCCTTTATTTATTTATTTATTTATTTATTTATTTATTTATTTATTTATTTATTTATTTATTTATTTATTTATTTATTTATTTATTTATTTATTTATTTATTTATTGCCAGCCTTTCAGCACCAGCACACACCTCCAGGTGACGTGTTTCGATGCGGTGATCTGATTGGTCAGTCGTTGCACGTTGTGGGCGGGGCTCATGCTGCTCTGTAGTTGTGAGATATGAGGGGCGGAGGCGGCGGCTGCGGCGGTACGCACCACCTGAATGGACCCGTCTGACACCAGAACCAGGGAGCCAGGCTGTGTGGGAGCTCCAGAACCGGTTCGGTAGAAAGGTTTCTGTCGACGAACACCAAATGTCAGCGTCGTGACTTTGTTTTGACAAAGAAAACGCGAGTGTCGCAGCTCGAGAGCAGGAATGGAGCGAACGGCAGCAGGTGCTCTGACGGGTTAATTAAAGTCTGCGGTTCTGTTTTTTACTTGTTGACATGATGGAGGAGCCGCAGGTTCGGACGTCGGGAAGCAGCGACGGCACGTCTTCGTCCTCCAGTTCCCACACCATCTCCGAGGAGGTGGAAGAGGCGAGTTTTCACCTGAAAGTTGTCATCGAGGGTCTGAGGTCTGAGCAGGAGGACTGTGGAGACACGGGACCAGAGACACCAGAAGAAGAAGAGCTCGAAAAGGTAAACACAACAAAGCGTGACCAAAGCAGTGCAATGAAACTAATAATAATAATAATAATAATAATGAGTGGTTAATGGAAGCGCTTGGAGTCCACAGTAATAGTGAACATGTTTGTTTTTATTCTCATCATATAAAAGCTTCTCTGAAATGACTGAATCATTAGTTATCAGTCTGACTGAGCTCATCATGTTTCTCAGCTTACAGAAGTCATAAACTCTAATATTCAAACTGTTTCTTTGACCTCATCTGCTTTTTATATTTCCTTTTACAGAGTTGTAAAGTAACTAAGTACAAATACTTTGTTACTGTACTTAAGTAGAAATTTTGGTTATCTGTGCTTTATTTGAGTAATTATTTTTCAGCGTACTTTTTACTTTTACTCGTTACATTTTTACACAATTATCTGTACTTTCTACTCACTACATTTTTTTTAAAAGGTAGAAGTAGAAAGTCATTACTCCTATTTTATTCTGAGTTATTACTTAAAAAAATACTATCCTGATAAATTATGTCTCCTGGATAGAGTGAATTTAATTGTGGTTGGATGAGAAGTATAAATATATAACATTCTGACACCGTGTTAGCTTGTACACAAACCATCATCAAAAATATTTTTTTGAGAAGTCACCTCTTAATAAATGTCATTTTGGAAAATCTAACTGCTCACTTTTACTCAGTACTTTTACTTTTAATACTTAAGTAGATTTTATGTCAGAAATAGGGCTGCCAGAAACAATTATTTTTATAATTGATTAATCACCGATTATTTTTTCGATTAGTCGACTAATC